TATAAACTGGATTCTGAACTCCTCTTCCAACTCCCCTTCTCCAACCAAAATCAACCTGATCTTATGCTGGGATAGAACTTCTCTGGAAAGTCTTAGGGAAACCAGGCAAGGGAAGATAAGTGTTCCAAAAAAGTTCTCACTTCTTGGATATTTTCTTAACCCTTTTTTTGGAGAAGCATAATTCAAAAGCAGTTAAATTTCTGTGCAAGAATTCAAGATTTCTGGGCTGCATTCTCAAAATTATTCACACTAAATATTTTATACTTCCAAAAGATAAGAAAAATATTTCTAACAGAACAGGCTGTACAACAGTATAGGAATGCAAGACCAAAATTACAGCAAATCCTTTACAACAAAGTGTTGGGGAAAAAAAAACCTTGAAATAGCTTTTCATTTTATGCTGATATATTTTTCTCCAGGACCAGGCTGTTGAATATTTGCTTCGTGAGAACTCAGGTCCACACAGAATTCTGCAAGGAAAAGGAAAAAATATTACTGATCACATTACTGAATAGTAGGTTAATAGTATGCTGTGAACAGATTTGCTGCTTTGCATATGGTTGAGATAAAGAATCCAGTGGTCACGTCCATGAGCCATCCAAGGAAAGATGTTTGCTGCTTTCATCATCATTTGCAAATGCACAGGTGGTACAGTAAAGATTGGTAAAAAGTTCAAAATACAAAACATTAAACAGAGATCACAGAATGATAGAATCATAAAAATGTAGGGCTGGAAGGGACCTTGAAAAGTCATCACATCCAGCCTCTTGTGGTAAGGCAGTACCAAGTGAATATAGACCATCCCTGACAGGTGTTTGTCTAACCTGTTCTTTAAAACTCCAGTGATGGGGATTCCACAGTCTCTCTTGGAAGCCTGTTCCAGAGCTTAACTGCCCTGAGAGTTAGAAAGTTTTTCCTAATATATCTAACCTAAATCTCCCTTGCTGCAGATTAAACTCATTACTTCTTGTCCTACCTTTAGTGGACATGAAGAACAGTTGATCAGAGTCCTCTGTATAACAGCCGTTAATGTCTTTGAAGACTTTTATCAGGTCCCCCATCAGTCTTCTTTTCTCAAAGCTAAACATGCCTAAGTTTTTTGGGTTTTTTTTAAACCCCTCCTCAACCTCAAAAAGGTTTCCTAAACCTTTTAACATTTTTGTTGCTCTCCCTTGGACTCTCTCTAATTTGTCCACCCCTTTCCTAAAGTGTAGCCACAAAAATTGGACACAGTACTCCAGGTGAGGCCTCACTAGTGCCTAATAGAGCAGGATAATTGCCTCCCCTGCCTTAAATATGGCATGCCTGTTCATACACTTACTTTGCACTTCACTGAATTTCATCTTGTTGATTTCAGACCAGTTCTCCAATTTGTCAAGCTGTACAAGTTTAAAAAAAAAAAGTGTCAAAAGGGCTTAGGTGAGCATCAGTAGCCTCAGGGTCAGCAATGTGGCGTTTGGAAAGTCTTCCTGGTAGGCCAGTCTGAGATGAGCAGCCATTTAGTAGATGTGCGCTGTCCTCAGCCACAGCACAGCCGCACACCTCACCACCCTATCGTAATCCTGTATAATCATCATCATTCCACACGACCATCAATACATTTTTAGTAAATCCAACTAATATCCTGTATTCCCCCACTTACGTATTAAATCCCTCCTCTTTCTTTCAACACATGTTAGACTCACGCTGTGTCCTCTCTGCGTCTCCCTGTTAAGAATCTCTCCTCTCTTCTCCTGCACAAGTCCATATAGCCTCAACAGCTGAGCATTTCAAAATTGTCACTTATGACTTCAGGGGGAGGTCTCCGGGGGCACTTGGGTTCCTCCTGCTTGTACCTGGGGCAAAGGAGGGAGCAACACTGAAAATCTACATCGTGTAAGTGTTTAGAAATAACACTGGTATTGATCAAAAAGCTCAGGATGTTTCAATTATTTGTATAGCGTTTTAAAAGTATAAAAATAAATCGTACGGTGACCGCATCAAGAATAAAGCATTGTGAGGATGTGTCTGAGATCTGTATTTGGATAACTTCTCAATGATCTGTACTTATTTTCTTTGTAGCGCTACAATTAAACCTAAAGTGCCACCTCCTTTACCACCAAAGGTAAGCAGGTTTTTCCACTGTATTACATAAGGGGAGAAATATGCTAAAAATATTTTTATTTAATTTTTTCCCAAAAATTCGTAAGTGTCTAAATGACTTAAGAGTCTCATTGACTTAAGCACGTTTGAAAACTTTACTCAAAACTTCTATTGGCCCCAAATTTATCAAGGTGAGATTTGACCTTTCAATTATTTGTGTACATCTCTAATTTGGGGAAATGTGTATAATAGAATCTGTGGTATTCAGCAATTCGGAAATGGTGTTTGAGTGTACCATTAATATTTAGGGAGGGATTAGTTGAGGTATTGGAAGGATTTGGGGGAGGCAGGAATTCCCACCAAAGGGCCATCACAGCAAGAGTCTTGAGTATTAACTTCAGCTGCAATGATGGGATACTTAAATGGTTGTGTGTACAGATCAGATCTCAAATACTGCCACTTACACTAACACTGTTGATCTACACTTTCATTGTACATTCAAAGTAAATTAAAAGGTGCAAAAAAAACCCCTATATCTTATTCTGAGTGTGTCCATTCACCAATGCTGGGTGGGTTAACCAGGCCTGCTTTTAGCTGTGCAGACAGGCCTAGAGGGATTTTGTGTTTTGGCATCAAAATGTTGCCCTTTAAGAGTCTGTTAGATGCCGTCTTGCCCCGTCTCTTGCAACCAGTCTGTACTTGAGCTGTCCGCCTCTGCCGGTTTCTGCTTTACAGGCTTTTTTCCTTTCATGCTCTTCCAACGGATCTCATTTTTATTTCCTCAATCTGCAGATTCTGGTCCTAGAGTAGCATGCACATCAGCCCTCTCCTTGGGTTGGATGAAGTCACAGGCCCCCAGAGCCTAGTGTTTCTCTGCCCCACTGGCCCAGCCAGTTCTGCAGCTCAGTGGGCCCATGGGGTTCCTGGCTCCAGTGGATTCTAGCCTAATGAATCTGCTGTTACGTTTGTGATTGCTCCCTTCCTCGGCAGGGAGTGCTGTAGCTTTCCATTTTACAACTGGGACCTTTGAGAGCCTTGCAACTTCCACAACCTGACCTTGCCAATTATGGCTACCTCCATGTGCTGTAGATATTCATTAACCATGAGTCTTCCACTTCTCATAATTGACCACAGAACAGCAGACACAAACTCTTGTGAAATGTCCTATGGATGGCACTGTAGGGCAAGAAAGTAAAGGCAGCACACAAGAAAGGACTTCCATCTCCAGTTGGTGCTGCGCATGCTGAGGTAATGAGCAAGAGGGATGGACAAACTTGGGCTCTTAAGGTTCCAAGAGTAGGACAGTCAATAGCAATAACCAAAATGCAGAACAGACAAATCAGTTGCTTTATAGTGCTGAAGCCATAAATGGGAACAATGTTTAGTTTAAAAAAAAAAAAACTTAGCTTCAGTGTCTTTTGCCTGCTGTGGAAGAGCAATATGAAAGCCAGCAAGTTCTAGGGATGTGAGGCAAGCATTGACGATTTCTCACTTTTTTAATCCTGCCTTACTCTGACTTACTCTATGTTGGGGGAAACCAACTTCCCTGTGTGTCTATTTCCCGATCTATAAAATGGAAATTATGTATGTATCTGTTTAGGCATTTGTACCATGCTTAGCCCTGTTATCCAAGCACCTGACATGGTGAGGGTTAAGTAATGTTTGGGTAGCATTTCGGAAAATACAAAACACTGCTGTGTAAGTCCATTATGTGTTTATTAGAACCCGGACTCGAATGCAGAGTGGCATTCTGTTGTTTGTTATAACAACAAGGTATGGTAGAAAAGAGCTAGAGCGCAAGGAGAGACACATGCCTGATGCCTAAGAAAACTTGTTTGTACTTAATGCATTGGAAAAAAGGACAAAAGAAAAGGGATTAGTGGGGCAGGAGAACTGAGGTCACTGCTACTCCGATCTGCCTGTATACAGGAGGGAAACAACTACGGGAAAAGGCACAGACTGGGTTTAAGAACTGTCGATGATTGGCACCAACTCAGCTTCGGGTGGATGACTGGGAGGGAGCTAGCAACAGTTTTAGTGCCATCAGTGTGTGTCTGCTTGACCCTGCCCTCTGTAGCCATGTACTGATTTGGGGTCCTCCCAAAAGCATAGGGCTCTGTAGCCATGTTTCACAGATCCCAAAGGCCAACTCAAGGTAGCGATGATATCCAGCCTCCATTCTGATAATTCAGCTCTATACTTTATCTTAAATGCCTCTGATTTGATTACCTGTCGGACACAAACTGTGGGCCAAACCCACAGCCAGGTTACTCACTTGCCATGCCTCACCCCTCGGGGTCCCCCCCTGGATCTCTGCTTTTGACCCTGCGACCCTCAGCCCTGTCACCGTTTTTTCATTCTTCCCCATACTTTCTTGATGCCTGAGTCCAGTGGCTCCTCCAGTTAGGCTGGGGGGGCGTGACCTTTAGATCCCCCAAAGCCTCAATAGGTGCCATGACTCACTCCTCCAACAGAGCCTGCTGCCGCCTCTTATAGGTCAGGCATGTTGCAGCAACTCAGCTGCACTGATTCATTCCATAAGCAGAGCCTGCAGTGACTCAGCCCTCAAGAATGCTGCAGCAGCCTATCCCTGAACAGGGACCAGGTCAGATGACCCCCCAGGCACAGATGACCCTGTCAAAGCTGCAAGTTAGTCTGTGCACCAGCACTACTTGTCCAGGAACCCGCCTGCTGCCTCGCAGTCTGACTCCCTAGGCTTCCAGCCTGCTCTTGATCCAGTTCCTGTTTCTGCCCTGGCCTTGCCTGAGCCTTGTTCCAGCCCGCTCGAGCCTTGTCTGTGCCCTGCCCTGTTCTGCACCCACCTCCTGACCCTCAGACTGACTCCAGCCTGGCTTTGACTGTTGGCCTGTTTCTAACTGTGATCATGATTTTGCTTGTCCACAGACTCTGACCCCAGTTCTGACCCACGGCCTGTCTCCATACCCTGGTATCAGTGACACCCTGGGCCTGGCCTTGAACCTATGTCCGGCTATGACCACTGCTCTAGCCACCAGGCCTGACTACCTAGAATGCAGAACCTGACATGAGTAGTGACGTTTCAGCAGGCCAATCATGATTTCAGTGCACTACTTAATAATCTGAGTTTTCTTGTTTTATTGCTAAGCATTTTTCTGCAGTAAACGTCGTTTTGCTTAATGGAGCATACAGTTTTCTTTATCAGTACACTCATGGGATACGTATAACGCAGAGCTCTGGTACAGTATTACCATGATGAGTGTGGTATAAATGCCTAGATAGATTACTTTGTTTGTATCGTTCATTAATATCGTTATATTTATTTTTCAGCCTAAATCCATCTGCATACCACAGGAAGGTCATTCTTCTGAAGATGATAATCAAGGAACGATCAAGAGATGCCCTGTTTCAGACAGTCCAGCAAAGTTAACATCACAAGTTCCACCTAGACCACCCCCTCCTCGGTTGCCTCCCCCGAAGCCTAATCCTATAGGTAATACAAGTGACACCAAGCAGTGTGTGGGGATTAGACAGTTGTACACTTGACTCATCCTGTGGTAATGTGTACTTCTGTGGGCAAGTAGCAAAAATAGTGCAGTAAAAATGTACACTATAACTTACCTGGGCCAAATACACCTCCCATTGTAGTCATTGACAAAATTCCTCTTGATGTCAGTGAGGACAGGATTGGATCCTTAAGCAACATACTCAAGGTGAAATATGCTGAAACTGTGTAACAGTGGGCAGCATTGTACGTTTTCATAGACTTAAGTGTCAAATTCTGTTCTGCTGCGCAAGCTCCCATTTAAGTCAATTGGAGTTGTGTGGACATACCTGAGAGTAGAACTGGGCTTCAAAGGTTCACAGATAAACAAATGAATTGATTTCAGTAATTATATAGCAGTTAATTGTGCTTCCTGCCTATTGGTTTGTAAGCATTTCTCTGGTGTTTGATATGGAATTTAAGGCCTGATCTGACTCTATGCCAATATCTAAGTCGTTAATGAAGATATTGAACAGAACTGGTCCCAAAACAGACCCCTGCGAACCCCACTTGTTATGCCTTTCCAGCAGGATTGGGAACCATTAATAACAACTCTCTGAGTACGGTTATCCAGCCAGTTATGCACCCACGTTATAGTAGCCCCATCTAAATTGTATTTGCCTAGTTTATCGATAATATAATGCAAGACCGTATCAAATGCCTTACTAAAGTCTAGGTATACCACAGCCTCTCCCTTATCCACAAGTCTCGTTATCCTATCAAAGAAAACTATCAGATTGGTTTGACATGATTTGTTCTTTACAAATCCATGCTGGCTATTCTTCTGAAAACCTTCAGAAGTTTTATTGATCCTCGTTTAGGGACTTGAAAGGATTGAAATGATTACAACCCCTTTTCCTGTTATAATGGGCTAATTTTTTTGCTGGTGTAACTCCATTGAAGATAATGGCATTAATGCCGACAGAGAATTTGACCCATCAAAATCATGTGTGTAAACGATTACATTATAAGTTGAATGTAGAGAAAATGTATTTGTAACTTTAAACGTTTCTTTTGAAGGTAATGGAGTGAGTTCTTTACATTTTAATGGTGACAGAGAGGGATCTCCACATCAACAGCCAAATGAAAATAAAGACACTAATTTTTCAAGGAAAGAAAAAAAGGAAATACTGGTAGGTAATGATTTCAAATCTACTTTTATACTTTTTTTTTTTTTTTTTTTTAAACTTCCTTAAATTGAGTTGCACGTGCTTTTATTGAAGACCAAGGAGAGGATAGGCCCATTACACAATGAGGAGGGAAAGACAATAACAGAAAATGCAGCAGTGGCAGAAGTGTTAAATACCTTTTTTGTTTCAGTTTTCACCAAAAAAGTTAGCAGTGACGGGACGACTAACAGCGAACGTCAGTGTAAATGGGGGTAGGATCTGAGGCTAAAGTAGGAAAAGAACAGGTTAAGAATTATTTAGACAAGTTAGATGTCTTCAAGTCAGCAGGGCCTGATGAAATACATCCTAGAGTACTTAAGGAACTGGCTGAAGAGATCTCTGAGCCATTAGCAGATATCTTTGAGAACTTGTGGAGGATGGAAGAGATCCCAGAGGACCGAAAGGGGCTAATATAGTACCTATCTATAAAAAGGGGAATAGGGACAAACCAGGGAATTATAGAACAGTCGGCTTAACTTCGGAACCCGGAAAGATAGCGGAGCAAATAATCAAACATTCTATTTTGTTAGCACCCAGAAGAAAACAAGGTAATAATAGGCAATATGAATTTGTCAAGAACTAATCATGTCAAACCAACTTAATATCTTTCTTTGACAGGGTAACAAGCCTTGTGGATGGGGGGGGAGCAATAGATGTGATGTATCTTGACTTTAGTAAGGCTTTTGATACTGTCTCACATGACCACCTCATAAACAAACTAGAGAAATGTAGCCTAGACAAACCTCCAATAACGTGGGTGCGCAACTGGCTAGAAAACCATTCTCAGAGAGTGGTTATTAATGGTTCACAATCAATCTGGAAGGGCACATCAAGTGGGTTCCCACAGAGATGTGTCCTGGGTCCGGTTCCATTCAGTATCTTCATAAATAATTTGGATAGTGCCATAGTAGAGAGTATGCTCATAAAATTTGTGGACAATACCAAGCTGGGAGGGGTTGCAAGCACTTTGGAAGACAGAATTTAGAATTCAGCAGGATCTTGACAAACTGGAGAAATGGTCTGAATAAATAGGATGAAATTCTATAAGAACAAATGCAAAATACTACACTTAGGAAGGAATAATCAATTGCACAAATACAAAATGGGAAATTACTGCCTAGGAAGGAGTACTGAAGAAAAAGATCAAAGGGTTATAGTGGATCACAAACTAAATATGGATCAATAATATAATACTGTTGCAAAAAAAGCAAACATCATTCTGCAGTGTATTAGCAGGAGTCTTGTAAGCAAAATGCGAGAAATAATTCTTCCACTCTACTCAGCACTGATAAGGTCTCAACTGGAGTACTGTGTCCAGTTCTGGGCACCACATTTCAGGAAAGATGTGGACAAATTGGAGAAAGACCAGAGGAAAGCAATAAAAATAATTAAAGGGCTAGAAAACCTGACCTATGAGAAAAGGTGGAAAAAAATGGGTTTGTTTACTCTGGGGAAGAGAAGACTGAGGGGGAACGTAACAGTCTTCAAGTAGAAAAAAGGTTGTTATAAAGAGGAGGATGATAAATTGTTCTCTTTAACCACTGAGGACAGGACAAGAAGTAATGGGCTTTAATTGCACCAAGGGAGATTTAGGTGTTAGACATTAGAAAAAACTTCCTGTCGGTATAGATAAGCACTGAAACAAATTTACCTAGGGAGGTTTTTAAGAACAGGTAAGACAAACATGTCAGGGATGGTCTAGGTAATACTTAGTCCTGCTTCAGTGTAGGTGACTGGACTAGATGACCTATCAAGGTCCCTTCCAGTCCTACATTTCTATGATTCTATGATTATTGATTTGTTTCATATATTCAGGTTTTGATATCTGTTGAATGGATTTTGTCTTACAAGTTTAAAACATTTTGGCTAAACTGTTTAATCATGCTACAGTTTTTATCTAAATTTAAGCAGTCAACATTAATACAAATTTTATTTTTAAATGCTACTAGGAGCTGTCATTTATTACAAGTAATAAATATTGTGCATTCAAGATTTGTGTGTCTGTGTGAAACCTTAGTGATGTGTCCTGTCTATACAGTACAGTAGAACCTCAATAATTCATATCAATGATGAGGAGAGATCAGATAGATTAATGAATTTTGCTGACTAGTGGGTATGAAAACAAAAAAATTGGGAAACCAAGGAAAATGTAACGCAAAATGTAGTTTAATTTACATTGATGATTGCAATTTGGGCTTTAATCATTTGATACTTAATAATGTGTAAAAATAATAATTTGAGGAATTTAACATTTCACTGCAACACGGTCTCGTATAAAATCTTTGCTGCGAGATGGGGAGTTTTTTGTGTGGATTATAAAATGATGTGGATTAGCAAGGTTCTGTTGTACTTTCTGAAAGACTGCCTGCTAGAAGCAGATTTCATTGCAGTGTAGCAGATATGGGTTTCTGAATACATGCAAATCCTTAATTCTGTCTTCCTATCAATGTGCCAAGGATTGCCTTGAGTAATTTCTACATGGAATGTATACATCTAGGGCTATATATAAACTGTGGTAGAGTTAAGAAGAAATATCTGCATAAATCCTCTGTAGTTTGTGGGGGCTATTGAGGATCATATTGCGCAATTAAGGTCATATACAGTCATAGCATTTTTCTCCCCAAACTAGTTAGCTTTGGATTGAAGTTTAACTGCTGCTTGGCAATGGAGAGAATCGTTCTTAACAGGGATATAATCAAGCCACTTCTACAGTAAATTAAATGGATCTTCTGGGGAAAAGGTTAAAATCAAAGTGTCTGTTTACTGAGGCTAAACTGATGTGACACTTCAGTATCAGCAGTCTTTATTCGACATTGGTGAGGCCTCATCTGGAATACTGTGTCCAGTTTTGGGCCCCACACTACAAGAAGGATGTGGAA